AACCCATGGGAACCGTATTAAAGGGCCGCGGCATTAGGAAGGTTGAGAACCACTGTGCTAAAATGATTGCTATGGCTGTGATTTTTAGAGCTTCACAATTTATTCATTTGACTTGCTTTTATCATGATTGTAGAATAATTATAATTTTTAGAATGATAGTATTCCAAATACTATCATATTTATATTTAAATTATACATTTAAATTGCATAACAACTCTATAAGGTAGGCATCATCTCCCGTAACTGAAAAAAAAAAAAAAACCCTGAACCTCCAGAGAAGTTAAATGACTTGATCAAAGTCGCACAGCTTCTAAGTGGAAAAGCCACAACTTGAAGTGAGGGCTGTGCCATACCACTGCCTAGCCTTTTTCTATTACCTGCTGTTCTGGCCAGCATCCTGAAAGTGCCTCACTACAATCTTGGATCAGAGAGCTGCAGCCAGCAATCTTCAGTGTTCAGGATTTTTGTGCAATAAAATGAAAACTATCTGAGGTTTTGGAAGGCACCAGCAACTGCATGTGCATATGAGAACTTGAAGGGGACAATAACAAAAAAAATCTTCCTGGGAAGCCAGGCTTGCAAAACCTAGATAAGCAAGTGGGCTTTCCTGACAGTGGTGTGCACAAATAACAGTCAAATGACTCACGTTTGGGCTGGATTCACCGATATACTTGGTAGCTATCTCTGCAAGAAGAGAGTGCAAATTGGAATTTACAGCATAGCTTTGCTAGTGTGAGGATTCTTACATCCAGTAGCTGGAGAGAAGCAACTGCTTGTGTAGGCAAGAAGCCCAGCTACCTGATTTGCTGTTCTTTCCCTGACGTTCTGTAAATATTTACTGAGGGCCTACCATGCACTAGGCCCAGCTCTGTGCTGCCACTGGGAATATGGAAATGAATGACACATGGTCTTTCCCTCAGGGCTTGGTAGGAGTCCACATTATACTCAGCACTTGGGCAAAGGCCATGGCTCTTCAGGCTCCAAAAAGGGCTAAAGTAGGAATGTGCATACCCTGTCAGAGATACACTGACCAAGGACCGAGGAGCAGAAGTGGGTTGCTGGAGGTCACCCAGCCAGTAAATAGAAACCAGCAGAACGTTCTCTCCTAGGCCCTATCTATCTCATTCACTGTTTAATTCCCATCACCTGGTTTACAAGACTTGGCACAGAACAGGCACTCCATAAATGCTGAATTGGATCTGATACTCCCCCTGAAGAGGAGAGTATATATGTTGGGGAGGGGATAAAAGAGGGCTTGTCCATAGCTTCTCACCTCTATCTCCCCTCCTTGGCCAGAGGAGCAAAAGGCAAGTCCATTCAGACCAGAGGAAACATTTACTCCTTGGGAAGGTCACATTTCCTTCTGGGGTTTGTGAATGCGGCTTCCATTCTAAGCTCCCAAGTACAGTGTTTCCCTAGGGAACCTAGGAAACATCATGGTGCCTTTCTAAGGCTTCTCAGGCTGTAAGAGGGGAGGGAAGGGGAACAAAGGGCTCAGCCAAAGCATCTGTAACCCTGCCTGGTACCAGTACCTGGCAAGTAAGTAAAGGTTTTCACAGGCTGGTGGCCAGAGCAGTGGTCTCCAACCTTTTTGCACCAGGGACTGATTTCACAGAAGACAGTTCTTCCATGGACTAGAATGGGGCCGTGAGTTAAATTCTCATAAGGAGGGTGCAACCTAAATCCTGGGCATGCTCAGTCTATAGTAGGATTCTGTTCCTATGAGAATCTAACGCTGTGGCTGATGTGACAGGAGGTGGAGCTGAGGCTGTGATGTGAGTGATGGGGAGTGACTATAAACACAGATGAAACTTTGCTTGCCCACTGCTCACCTGCTATGAGGCCCGGTTCCTAACAGGCCACAGACTAGTAACCATCCTTGGCCTGGAAGTTGGGGACCACAGGTCTAGAGGGTCCAAGATGGTCTGTTATTATTTTTTGCATACAAATATACCCCACATGAGCCTTACCTGGACAGATTCCCTAGGCCACAAATAAGCTGTTTACTAGATAAACTTGAATTGAACATCTGCTCAGTTCTGGAATATGTGATCACCCAGTACAAAGGGGACAGGGACTTTCACACTTCCTAGAGGAAGCAAGATGGGGACACAAGTACAAATGTTCTGCAGGAGGAGATAAGGGTAAGAGGTCTGGGTTGCCTACTCTAACCATTCAAGAGCAAAAGAGAACTTTGGGGAGAGAAGATCCAGGAAATCTTTCTGAGTAGAGTAGCAAGCAGTTGAGCTGAGCTTCAAAAAATAGAGGATTGGATCAGAATATTTCTCATCCCCCTAGAGGAAGTTAGTTTTTAGATGTCACCACTGATCTTATACTTAAAAATCTCATCATTTGGGGAAGCTTAACAGCCCTCTAAACAAACAGTTTATCAAGCCAGAGCCTGGTGTCTGTCCCTACTTAGTCACAAAGCAAATGTCTATAGGTTTGCAGACCAACCTGTTCTAGCCCAGACCTGAGATGCTATTCTCTTCACTGAGGTTCTCTTTACTATCTTTGGCCATGGACTTGGACATTCTAGTAGGAATCTGTGTTTTATGCAAAGGCACCATGGTTTGGTAGACCAAATTCAGGCTTTGTATTTATGAGGACCATTTACTGGTTTTGTAAGCCTCGGCTTCCTCATCTATAAAACAAGAATAGTACTATTACTGCCCTCTAGGTGTTGCTGTGAACATTAGAAAAGGTGACATGAAAGCACACCTAGTAGGTGCAAAAATGCATGGCAGCAACTATCACTATCAGTGAAATAAAATGCTACAAGGAGGCTGACCCCTAGGGCAGGAGTGGGATCAAGGACTAGGTCACACTTCTCTGCTGGCCTTCTCATATCCATTAGACAGAGTGGCCCAGTCACTGCCTCTCTCTGCTCTGGTGGACTGAAGCCAGCAGCCTGAAAGGCCAAGGGTGGGGAGGACATTCAGTCAGCCAAGACGGCTGCTTCTGCTGCTGGCTCCTGTCCCAGGCTTGCTCTGTCTCCATGAAAGTGCTGCCCAAGGACAGCTGGACAAAATAAATAACCAGATGCTTCTCCCTGGTCCATGGCTCTGTGTACTCTGAGTGGGTCACTCAGCTAGACAAGTCTTACTGGCTTCCAGGTTCTCTTCCTCCCATCAGGGGGCATTCTTGCTAGTTCCCTTCTGGGTTAGCATTACAGCATTGCACATCTTCAGAGATAGCACTCACATTCTACCACCTTCCTAGGGACCCTCCTCCTCAGAGTTGAGATTTCAGCTGCTTGACCTACCTAAGCATATCTCTTGGCCTCTGGAGGAAGGGTGTAGCTGGCCTGAAGGGTGTAGGAAAGGAACTGATGAGAGATGAGGATGGAAGATGGTGTATCAGATTCCAGAGGGTTCTGCAGGCCCAGTGTGGGCTTGAAGCTGAAGGTGACAGCTTAAATTAAGGAAGTGATCTAGTCAGATGGGTTTCTTTCTCCATTCTACCCCTAACTCCCCTTCTTTAATCCCTCACGAGATTTGTTTTATAATTCTTTGGCAAAAAAGATTGGGTTACCTGACAAGCTGAGAGTGATGCCTATTACTAAAACTATCCATAATACTGACTGTGCTTCACACTTGCTTAATGCTTGATGGTTTCCAAAAAGCTGTCTCCTGATCCAAGGAAGAGCACAGCCTTTGGAATTTCACATCTGCCTTGGTCTGAATCCTGTTCTGACTCTCAGGCTCCTCTGTAAAATACAGAATTCTCATGAGAAGCAAATGCAACAGAATATTTTGTAAGCCATGAACTTCAGAAATCTTTCTTTCCCACTGGTTGCCTCATTTGATTACACTATAGCTCAGCAGTCCCCAAAATAAACTATTTTTCCCATTTTACAGATGAGAAAACTGAGACTCAAAAAGGTTAAGTGGCTTGTCCATGATCATGTGGTTAATGAGTGGCAGAATCTAGACCAGAACCTAATTTCCTGACTTCTTCACCCCATCATCAGCTTCAAAAGACGGGGATTTCTGTGAACATAGCTTCAGTGGACAGTGAAGATTTACCCCCAGGACTTGCCTCACTTGTGGCAGCACCAAAAATTGCATTTACTTTATTTCTTTATAAATTATATCCACTTAGCCACATACCCTTGGGCACTTACCTGCTTTAAGTTTTCATCTTTAAATTAACAATAATAATACCTGTTACTTCAAGTAATTGAAGGGAGTAAAAATATTTATCTCAATCTCTTCATCTGTAAAATGGGGATAAAAACAGTCCCTGCTCTGTGGTAGGTTGTGAAGATTAGTTGAATTAACACATGCAGAGGGCTCTGGCACATACCATGTGCTTAATAAATGTTAGTGGTGGATTTTAACCATCCAGACAACAGCATCACTCACCTTACTCAAAAGTCATCTTTGCCCTAAGTCCACCCTGTCTATAATTTCATGCACAGGCCACAGTCCTCCTCCTGGTTTTTATCACCATTTCAGTAAACTATATGTTTTACTTTTTTTTTTTTTTTTGGTATCTTGCTTCATTTATTATGTACCACTATATAATCAGTGATTCTGTAATTTTGGCATACATCTAAGTTACCTGAAGGGTTTGTGAAATCAGATTTATTGAGCCCCACCCCAGGGTTCTCAATTCAGTAAGTCTGGGGCAGAGCCCCAGCATTTTCATCTCTAACAAATTCTCAGATAATGTTGTCCCAGACCCACTTTAAAAATCATGGTCCTAAAAACGTGAAACTCTGAGCAGCTGCCAACACCGACAGGTAGTTTTTAATGTATGTTTCTCTCCCCTATTAGACGTCAAGCTTTGGGGGGGGAGGAGGAATTTTTGTCTGTTCGTTGATGTATCCCCAGCACCTAGAGTAGGAGTTGCTCAATAAATATCTGTGGTCTAAATACGTATTGAATACATCGCTATTTGCCAGTGCCTGCCCCCGCTGTCGTGGGCACCCTCGCGGCTGCTCGTCCACCGCGGGGCAGTGGCCAGCTCGCTGACCGCGCGTGTTTGTGCCCTAGATCACCCCGGAGGCCTGCAGAACCACCCGCGGCTGCGGACGCCCCCGCCGCCGCTGTCTCACGCCCACACCCCCAGCCAGCACCACGCTGCCTCCATCAACTCCCTCAACCGGGGCAACTTCACTCCCAGGAGCAACCCCAGCCCGGCGCCCACCGACCACTCGCTCTCCGGAGAGGCCCCCACCGGAGGCGCCCCTGAGCCTGCCCACGCTCAGGACAACTGGCTGCTCAACAGCAACATCCCGCTGGAGACCAGGTGCGGGAGTGGGCGGGGCGCAGCGGGGTGGGCGGGGCGCAGCGGGGTGGGCGGGCCCGACCTGCCGGGGGCGGGCGCACAGCCCGGGGCTGAGACTCTCCGCTGGCCTGAGAACAGGGCCGGGATGGGGGCGAACAGAACCTGGCCTTCAGAGCCCAGCAGACCAGGCCCGGGCCAGTGCCAGCAGGCTGCTCACTAAAGGTATGACGTTGGCCAAGACGCTGAACCCTCTGCGCCTCACTTCCCTTGTCTACACCGTGGCGATGGTGCGCACGGGCCAGGCCTGTGGTTAAAGTAGAGGAGAGCCCATGTGCCAGGGGCTGGCGCAGGTGTGTGGCCGAGAGCCTGCTCTCTGCGTGTTTGACTCGGGTGCTCTCTTTGGTCTTTCCATGTGTGAGATCCTTACCCCTGCCTAGCATTTGGCTTGGGCTGGTGTTCAGTAGACGCCAGTCTCCCCGATTTTCCCCCCTTCTCTGCTCCTTTGCTGCTGTTCTGTCACTCTTACACCCAAGCCCTAATAATCCCCACCATTTAAACATCAGCTTGGTTAGAAGAACTTTCCTGTGTGTGATGTTAAGTAATCCTCCCACCTTTGGGGAGCGGGTATTATTAGGATGATCCCCACATTGGGGAATTTTGGAAGCCCAGTATCCGAGTGGGTCCATCACCAGCTGAGGAGCACATGGGCAGTTGGTGCACAGCTAAGATTTGGAGCCCGTGGCCTGACTCCCAGTCCAAGGGTGCTTCCCTACACCACAACTCAGGTCTCTACCGGCGTGGATCTCTCTGTCTCCTCCCTCCCTCCCTCCAGCCTCATCGGAGAAGGCGTCCTTCAGCTCAGGGACTTAGCCTGGCTTCTGTAGCTGTTCTGCTTAGCCACTGTTTTTCCACAATGGAATGTTTTTAAGTGACTATAAAACCAAACAAGCCCACTGGAGAAAGTGTAGAAAGATATAAAAATGAAAATTAAGTTTACCCATAATCCTACCACTCTGAGATAAGCGCTGTTGACTTTGAGGCCATAGCTTTTCCCTACTTTCTCTAAAATAGAGATGAAGTATCCCAAGCTCTTAATCTCCTACACCATTTCTTACCTTTTCCCTTTCCTCTCAGTCTCGCTCTGTCACCCCAGCTGTAGGGCAGTGGCAACATCATAGCTCACTGAAACCTAAACTCCTAGGCCCAAACAGTCCTCCTGCCTTCCTGCCTCAGCCTCCTAAGTAGCTGGGACTGTAGGAGCATGCCATCATCCCCCACTAAATTTTTTTTAGTAGAGAAGGGGTCTCACTCTTGCTCAGGCTGAACTCTTGAGCTCAAGCAATCCTCCCACCTCAGCCTCCCAGCATGTTAGGATTATAGGCACGAGCCACCACACTCAGCCTACCCTATTTCTTAAAGTGGTGGGAAACATAGATTTTATTTTTCCAAACTCCTGTTCCTTATTTGTAAAGAAAACAAAGGCATATGAGACTTAAAGATATAAAATTAATCTGTTCATGGAAAGTATAGCCATATGACTCTCAAGTGCTCAGCTATCATACTGTCGTATTGACCCCGAGGAGTCCCATAAGAGAAAAGCAACATCCTTTTGTACCATTTTATTCCAGTGGAATCATTTTTCCAAAAGCGGATTTCTTAGAGAGGAAGCCCCCAGTCTCTTAATTGACATTGTTTCTGTGGGCATCCTTTAAAATCACATGTGACGTTTCCCTTCATGCTTCCTTCACTCTCGTCAGTAACAGCCAGATAATCATATGTCATCCCACCCAGGGTGGCTTAATCAGATCTCCATTACTCCCAATGTGCTTACCGAATGACTAAACACGGCTAAAAGAAGCCAGCAGCTAATAGAAGGTTCTGATTCTCTGCACAGACCACAGTTGCCACTCCCTTTGCTCAGATGTGCATTTCTCTCACTTAGGATCAAATTAGCAGTGCCTAATTTGAGTCCCCAGGTTTTTCAAGAGGGAGGAAGATAGAGGACAAGCAGCAGGGAGGTTCTCCTAATGATTTGTTTGAGATGCAAAGATGGTCTCAGCTCACCTCTCCTGCTTCATCTGCCAGTGCTCACCTGCCTTTCTGACCCCCTGTCCTCCTATATGCACTGTGAAAACTACATGGAATCTTTTCTTTTTCCTTATACTTCACTGCTCAAGTAAGAAAAATGTTCACCGTAGAACCTTTAGAAAGTGAAATAAGCAAGAAGAAAAGAAAATCACCTATATCCATCGCCAAACGATAACAAGCATTGTTAACATGTGGGTGCATACTCACACCATTTACATTTCATACACAGAACATAACTATACATGACATGTATTATTACAGAGCACATATTTAATGTTCAGTATATGTCTGTGCATGTGTGTATTTATCAGCATTTTCCCAAATGCCAAGCCTTTTCATGCCCCCCATGCCTTTGCACTTACTCTTGTGCAGCTATGCTAGAGTTGGGGTTGCCCACCTTCTCACGTCTTGGTCTAGCTAAGCGCTACTTATTCTTAAAGCTCCAGCTGAAATGTTTGAAGAAACCTTCCTCCGTGACCCCACAGTTCTTTTCATGTGAGAACAGCCTAAAACTGGTAGAGGTGCTTAATACAAGGGATAACACAATCAGAATTCTGGATCTTACCTGGTTGATGGCACAAAACTAACAAGGTGAAGTTTAAGAAGGATCAATGTCAAGTCTGGCAGATGGAATCACAAGCTGATTCGGTGAAAAGGATATGAGCTTCAAAAGTCAGATGGACCTTCGTTCCTACCTTGGCTTTAACACTCGCTGAGCAAGTTCCTTAACATCCCCAATCCTTGATTCCCTTTGTCTGTAAATTTGGGCAAGAATTCATGCCTCTCAGAGAGATAGGAAGGAAATAAATGAGATATATAAAAAATACACAGCACAGTGCCTGACATTTAGAAGCCATACCATAAAAGCTACTGCCCATTTTTTCTTATACATCTGCTTCCTTTATCAACCCTGTGAAGAGAAAAATTACTCAGAGGAAATAGTAGGTTCTACCTTTCTTGACTTTAGAAAAGTAATTTGGCCCTGACATTCTACAGGTCTAAGTGATGGTCCCTTCACCACAGCAAATTGTTTAAAGCCCAGGTTTTAGGGTCAGACAGACCATAGGCTCACACTCCTACCCTAATGCTCACTAGCTAGGAACCTAGACCTTAAATTTCATCTCTAAAGTAGAGAAAATAATAGTAACTTCCTGTTCTGATTATCTATTGCTGCATACAAAACAAAGCCCTGCTAAATGTAGGGACTTAAAAAACATCCAGTTGATTACATGTCACACTGTGAGTCGAGAGTTCAGGAAGGACTCAGCCACTCCACGTGGTGTTGACAGCAGTCAGTAGGTGGTAATCAGCGGGCAACTAGGTGGGTCTCAAAGATGCAGTATAGCCTCACTCACATGCCTGGCACTTTTGGGTGGGGGGAGTGTCAGGAAAGCTGGTCTCAGCAGTATCCCTGTCTAACGTAGCCTCAGGACCTCTCCACATGGTCTTCCCAGGAGGGTATTTTACTTCCTACTCAGTGGCTCAGAGCTTCATGCCACCTGTTAAAGCCTTCACAGGAAATGGCATGGTGTTGCTTCTGCCATACTCTGTTGGTCAAAAATATCATGAGCCCGGCAGCTTCAAGGAGAAGGGAAACAGACCCCTCTTCTCACTGGGAGGCATGTCAAAGAATTTGTGGCTCTCTTTAATCCACCATATTACCTCGTATGGCTGTTATAGTCATTACATTAAGATCGTGCCTGAAAATGTCTCAGCATACAGTCAGTGCCCAACTACTTATCACGTAGTCCATGTTATTCAGTAAATATTCACTGAATGCCGCTGTGTGCCTAACAGGGAAGACATTCAAGAGAACAGTCTCCCTTACAGAAGGATAAGTGCTGTGTAGACGTAGGCACAGGGAACGTGCTAAGTTTTAATTGCCTTGGGATCCCAGCACTCAACCCAGAGCTTGCCACAACATGGTGGCTGCTTGATACGTATTATTAACACACAAGAAGAGAGAATAAGTGATGAGTGGGAACTTACCTAACTGAGCCTTGATTGGGGATACGCTTCATACAGTGTGACTGAGAGGTGATGAGCAAGCAGGAGCCCCCCCAGGTAGCGGAGGGGATGAAGGGAGGGCCCGAGAGAGATTCAGTCTGAGTGAAGGCCTAGAAGCCCAAGAGAGTAGGGCCTATTTGAGATAGTTGTCCTGAACAGCTTTTGCTAAGCTCCATTAGGATGAGAGCCTCTTGATACCAGAGAAACCGTCACAGACCGTTCCTGAATTGTCTGACTGAGTCGATGTTAAGAGTCTAAAATAAATAGCTAAGCAAATACTATAACAGCTGGTAGAATGACCAGGAGGGATTTAGGCTTCATACTGGCAAAAAAGAGAAAGACCGGAGAAGGATAAAGGAGAGAGAGGGCTTTGGTAAACCTGCTCCTGCTCCGCACCCGCTGTACCTCTGTCAATCTCCAGGGTTGACTGAGTCCCCCAGCAAGCAACCTGGGCCTACTAGTTTTCCCTAGACCTGGGGTAATGTGGCACCTTAAGTTCCACAAGTGCATCTGTGATCCATTCTGTCGGGAGCCATATGTTTAAGGTTCCCCCAAACCCTGATCTACTTCTTTTGCACTCTGCAGCATCAGAAGCCTAATTGATTTCACAGGGACTGTCTGATTAATAACCATCAGGCTCCTATCGGTTGAGGGAAAGCCAGAGCAGAAGGCTGCCAGATCTTGGCTCCAGCTCATCTGATCGCAGGCCTGGTTTGGGGGCCTGGGGCCCATTTTGTGGTCACACACAATTTGAGGAACAGCCTTCCCTATCCTCAGGGATGAGGGCCACCCTGACAGTCCAGCACAGCCTGATGTGGTTCCCAGAAATAGTACACAGTGCCTTCTGGGCCAGGCCAACCCCTGAGCATTGCAGAGAGTTGAAAAGGACAATCTTCTCTATCTTGGGTTATTCAGACATAGCCACT